TGTCTTGGAAGGAGTGTGGCCAGAGTGCTCCTTAGAGACAAGGTGAATGAGACTGTGTCTCACAGACTGTGGGCATGTTGTCAGGAGACCAGTCCCTAGAGGACATTATGCTTGGTGAAGGGGGGGCGGTTTGCAGTGAAAAAGAAGGCCCTCCCTTGATGAGGTGGATGGACACGGTGGCTGACGCACTGGGCTCTGATACCAACAACTGTGAAGTGGGCACAAGGGCAGGCGGGGGCAGTTTGGTTCTTGTGCACAGGGTCACTATGGGTTGGAGCTGACTTGAAGGCATCTAACAACAAAGGTTGGTGACACACACACCACCACCACCCACCACCCCGCCCCTCGCTGTGCCTAGCTATTTGCTTCTGAAATGACCGCCCTAAGGTACCGTTCTAACCCTGTCACATGAGGTTGCCACAGGTCAGACTCCACCCCACAGCAATGGGCTTGGTGTGGGTGGACCTCTGTAAAGACTGATATGCCTCATAAACTCTTAGGGGGCAGGCAGGTTTAGTTTGTCCTAAGGTTGACTGGTATGAGTCAAAATCAACTCCAATGCAGGGAGGGAGGGAGGCCAGGGGGAGGATGAGTAAGTGAGCAAACTAGCTATGGAAGAAGCGTTGGTAATGCAGTGAGTTAAGTGCTGGACTGCTGGCCAAGTGTTCAGCAGGAGAAAGATGAGGCTGTCTGCCTCTGTCAAGAGTTCCTGCCTCAGAAAGCCTATGGAACGGTTCTGCTGTCTCAGTGTCACGCTGATGCCAGTGGGTGTCCCTATCAAGAGCCTCAGAAGGGCCATCATCTTGTCATTACTGTTCCCCACCAGTACACACGACAAATTCGCGAGTGGTGACGCCAACGAAGCCAAGGGGGGAGAAAATGAGGTGGATCTGAAGCACTTGCTGACAAAGATCAAGGGTGGCAGCCTTCAGTATGGATTACAACTCGAGGGAAATCCTCACAACTGGACCAATAGGAAACATCATGATCAATGGAGCAAAGGTTGACGTTGTCAGGACCCACAATCAATGCTTATGGGAGCAGCAGTCAAGAGATTAAAAGAGTGGTTGCAGTAGGTAAGTGTGCTGCACAAGACCTCTTTAGAGTACTAAAAAGCAACGATGTGACTTGAGGACTCAGGTGCACCAGACCCAAGCCAAGGTATTGTCCACTGCCTCACGTGCAAGGGAAAAGCTGGACACTGACAAGGTAAGACTGAAGAAGAGCCAATGCGCTTGAGGTGTGGTGCTGGGAAAGAGTACTGAAAGTGCCAGGGCCTGCTAGAGGGACAAACCGACCTGGCTTGGAAAAAATACGGCCAGAGTTCCTTAGAGCTCTGTCTTACACGCTTTTGGACATGTTATCTATCCTTGGTCGAGGAAGGCCCTGGACGAGATGGATGGACGCAGTGGCTGCGGCAATGGGCTCGAGCATGGGAACGACTGGGAGAATGGCGCGGGGCTGGGCAGGCTGTGCTCCGTGCTGCTATGGGTCGCTGCGGGTCACAAGCGACTTGATGCCCCCTAACCACCACCACCTCACAGAGGACGCAGAGTCAAATGCGAATAGCTCCCACACCTAACATCGTCCATTAGGATCAGCCGTTGCCAGCACCACGATTCAAAACAGAAACACCAACCACAACGAGCAGCGCCACTCTCTCTCCCACGGAGAGCCTGGCGGCTTCCAACCACCCATCTTTCAGTTGGCAGCCCTGTGCTTTACCCACTGCCCCACAGGGCTCCCTTCTCAAGGACAGGATGTTTGTTATTTTTTATTGGTTTATATTTCTGTAGTGAACTTATGAACACAAACCCACTGCCACTGAGTCAGTTTCAGCTCAGACTCCCTTGGATACAGCAGAACTGCCCCCCGAGGTTTCCGAGGCTGTCCATCTATACATAAGCCTACTGGCTCAACTTTCTCCCAATGAGCAGCTGGGGGCTTTGAATTGCTTTGGTTAGCAGCACACACTTAATCTAATGTGCTACCAGGGCTCCTTACCTAGATTGAGCATTCGTTTGACAGACACTGTGGCACCCTAGTGGGGCAATAGTTACACGCTGGGCTGTGATCCTCACAGTCGCCAGTTTGATGCCACCAGCAGCTCCACAGAAGACGGGGCTCTCGACTCCCATCAACAGTTAGGGTCTTGGAAACCCACAGGGCGTCACTGTGAGTCAGCATGGATTTGATGACAGTAGGAGTTTTTTATGTCACCAAGGTGTAACAGGTTATGTGTCGGGCTGTTAACTGCAAGGTTAGCAGTTTGGAACTACCAGTGGACTCCTTTTCTACTTCTGTAAAGAGTGACAATCTGAAGTTCTGCCCTGTCCCATAGGGTCACTATCGGTCAAACTCGCTGGCAGTGAGTTCACAGAGCTTTTTTCATGGCAGAAGGTTAAGTGGTCCCCCTGCCTTGCATCAGAGGAGGTGAAGATACATTTGGCCTTGTCCTCAAGCATGCCCCAGGAGCGGGCTGGTACCCTCTTTACAACCAAGTGTGGTTCTTGTACCCACTTATGTCTCTATGGGAAGAATCCAGGGTGGACCAGACAAGTACTCTCACCACCAAGACCACCACCAGCAGGGCAGACCCCTGCTGGGCACAATGGGGAAGGGCACAGTGCTAACATAGAAACGGGACACCTGCCCTCATTGCCAACTGAAGTAACTCAACTAGGTGCACTGGGCCAGGATGTCCAGGGCCACTCATGGTAATCCCAGAGATGTGGCGCTGTTCTGAATGGGGGAATCACAGGTACAAAGGGTAACTTGGCTCCTCTGACCAGAGGACCCCAGCTCTTCCCCGAAACTCAGGCCCCGGTGGGACGTCTCCCAGGAAGGCTGTATCACCAAATCCCTGGCCGGCCTCTCCACACTGCAGTGAAACAGTTGATTTCCACCTGGCCTCTGCCTCCACCAGACCTTCCCTTCCTACATGGAAGGGTACCTATCTGCCCCACCACTGACTACTCCTGGTGCTTCCTGAACCGATGCCGGCCAGGTGACAATTCTGTAGCCAGATTAGTGAGAGCAGAGGAGTTTGGGACAAACACTGGTCTCCTGTACCAATCCAGACAGGAGAGATTTGGCCTGGAAGCACTGGACCCCAAGACAGGTAGGTGGCTCTACCATTCAGAGTCCAACAATCAGACACCCCAACTTGGGAGCCAACAAGAGACGACCTTCAGCTCACCACATTTCCTGCCTGCAGTACATACTCCACCGAATCTCCTCCACAGGGCCTGTGGCCTGGCTTCTGTCCTCCTGAGGCACACACATAACCGGTCACCCTGCCCTGCAGCAAACAATGAGAACCAGCTCCACAAGCAACCTGGGACAGGGCTGGCCGGAGGGCCTCTAGGTTGGGTGTGGACTTGTGGTCTGGGGAAATCGGCAGTGTTAAAGTCGCAAAGCCCAAGAGGGACACAAGTGACACCAACACCCCTCATGCACCCCACGGTGCCCCCACATGCCAGAGGGCCCAGGATCCCTTCCTCCACAAAACAACATTAAACATTACTCTTCTTGGTATAAAACCATATCCATTAGTACATATGTTAAAGATTGTTTGCCTACCAAAAGGAACTTCTCCCTTCTCACTTTTGAAATAAAACGTGTTCACAGGATCCTTAAAAAGTATTGGGGGATTGTGGTAAGAGTTGTACGAGCCCCCCAAAAAATGATTTATTTTTTTTAAAAAAGGATTGCGGGTCTCAAGTAAGTCCTGTGCCTCCTAGGCCCACAGGATCAAAGAGTCCTGTAGCTTGGGAGGGTGGGGGGTGGCGGGGACTGGGGAGGTGGCAGCGTGTGCAGGGGTTGTTAGGTGCAGTTCAAGGTCCCTACAGCTGTAAGAAAAGATTACCAGGCGCTTCCCGATGTTCCACCACACAAAGCAACGAATCAAACACAAAACTAAACTCACTGCCATCGAGTCGGTGCAACCCTATAGGACAGGGTAGAAGTGCCCCTGTGGTTTCTTCATGTGAATAGAAAGCCCTTTCTCCGGAGGAGAGAGGCTGGTGGTTTTGAACTGCTGACTTGGCTTCAAGAGGAGGTCCAAAATCATTACCTGTTTGTGGCTGCAGATACAGGGAACACTTTAAATGCCTGGCCACGTTCCGGCCAGCGCGCTGGGTGTGTCCCCTCGAAGCTGGTACTTCCCCTGGACTGAACACTTGGAAAGTGCCACCACCACCTCTGTGGCATGAAGGGCGGATGGGCCCCTTTCCAGTTGAGGAGTTCTCAGGGCTGACAAACTGGCTTGATGCCACTTCTGAGTGACAGCCTGGTAAGGCAGGTGCATCCACGAGCTGGCCTTGGGTCGCCGGGCTAGAGCCCAGACACCAGATGCTGGCCAGTCAAGGAAGACAGGGCACGCCCCAGCAGAGCGGCTCCAAGTCTAAAAGACGCCCCAGACCCAAACACGAGGCCATCGAGTTCTTTCCGACTCACAGCAACCCACGGCGCTTCCAAGAACGTACATCTTTACAGGGGCTGGTGGGTTTGAACCCCGAACTTCCC